TACATTTATCATCTTGTTTGCAAAGCGGTATTTTCTAGTATACAATGTCTCAAACATTGTGTCTAACATTTGTCTCCAAAACCTATCATCTTTCGTAAATCAGTTGTACATGTTGTCTTAAGCATCTGGTCCAACATCTGATTCTGCCTGAACAAAATTTCAATTGGCATTAGAGTATGCACCATATTCTGTTTGGTTGTGTTCCAAGGTTCTTATTTTGTTCAAGATGGATAATTTCAATGAAGGGGAAGCAGATGTTCATAGACCAAAGGTTATTTATGGTATTAAAAATCCTCCAAAGAATAGAACCAAATGCAAAGAATAGAACCAAATGCAGTTATGAAGATTATGAAGACCAAGTAAAATGTGATTCTGAAGAAAATCTCATACTTTCTAAGATCTTTAGTAAAGTCATTAGAAAATTAAATATAAGATCTAGAAATAATGTCTCTTCAAATGTTCAAGATAGTCAACAACACAATTCTAAGAGATGTAAATTTTCAGCATAAAAGGAAAAATAGGAAAGACAAAATCTCAACTAGATCCGATGTCTTAAATAGAAAGACATTGTATCTGATATCAATCTATAAAATTTATCATCGATTATAAATCAATTCTACATATTATCTCTAACATCTGATCCAACATTTATCCATGTCTAAACATAATTTAAAGATATATTATTTTCTATTCTTAAATTATATTTACTATTGTCATTACTTGTGTGTAATAGTAATAACTTATTTTCATTGAAGAACAAATGTCTAACATTTCCTACAAATCCACTATGTGAAAGTCATTGTCAACTAGAAGCAGCATAAGACTCGGAATTCAAAGTTTATTTATCTTTTTAAAATAGATAGATATAACGAACTTAATCGTATTCAGAATAATGTGATAGTTGGAAATGGTATAAAATCTAGGCATGGTAAAAAGATAAAAGATCTTGAGAAAGATAAGAATGATACAAAAATTGATACTAAAATTGAAAACAAGAATGATGGTAGCAAAAAATTAATTACGATGTATTTCATTGAAAAATTAAATACATTATATATATGAAATGATATTTTGATATACGGTTTTAAAAGTATTAAAGATGATATTGTAGACCTCACTAAAGATTAGTTAAAATATATATAATCAAGAAACTAATTATGTTTTATATATGTTAATTATGTTGTTTTATGTTTTTTATATAAAGATTAATTAATTATGTTGTCGTTTTTCAATATTCTAATCCCAATTTAGATTCTAAAATTCAAAAATCAATCATTGATTTTGATTTATATATTGGTGAGTTCTAGGGTGATGGTATAAGTAAATCCCTCACCACTAAACCACTATAAACCTCAATTTAGGACCAATAGATTAGGAAATTATATATGATTTTAATAGGCATTGTCGCATTGGATTATAAATATATCATCTTTTTTTCTCTCTAATACAATCATGACGGCACCTTTCTCTTCGATATCTTCACTGTCTCAAGTTTTTTGCAACAACAAAACACTCTCAATCAGTTACGATTATATATCTCATTGAATCATTTTGAAAATTTTAAACTAATTATATGGCATGACAGAAAAATATATTTCTATTAAATAATAATAGAAAATATTTTTACACGGTTAGTGCATAACAATTAAACTAAAAAAATAAAATATAAGAATAAGTTTGAGAGAATTGATGACAAAAAAAACAAAATAAATTCATCAGTGTTTTTAATTTCTGGTAATAGGTTTAAAGAGAGAAATTCAGTGTAATGGACGTATGATAAACTATTGTAGAATTATTCAATCAAAAGGTTCTTAATAATGCTCCAGCATGAATCACTTACTAGGTGGTAACACCTTAGACATCACTTTATATATTTATGTTGCCTTTTTCTCATTATATTTGGTCCCAATTCAGATTTTAGGATAGAAACACTCAAAAATACACTATGAATCATTGATTTTGATTTAGATATTTATGTTGCTTTTTTCTCCTTATATTTGGTCCAAATTCACATTTTTGGATATAAACACTCAAAACAGACTACGGTATAAATTATAGAATACAAATGCAAAATTTCAAAGAATTTCTAAAATAAATAGAGGATTTCTTAATATATATATATATATATATATATATATATATATATATATATATATATATATATATATATATATATATATATATATATATATATATATATATATATATATATATAGATTTTGGAGATATATATTCGGACGCATCAAAATGTCAGTTAACGTTAAAATATCTCCGAAATATTTTGGGGGTTAAATTGAGTTAGATCCTTCTCCTTCATCATTTCTCATTTTACTCAAACTAATCTTCAAACTCTCAAATTTTTCTCTGCACCAACTTAAAACTCAATCATTAAGGCTTAACAAAACTTCAATCATCATCTGTAACATCAGAAACAACATCGGAAACATCAATTTCTTATAAGTTTTTTTAGTTTTTGATAAACTTTTGAGTTTTTGTGTAAATGAGTAGAAATCAATTATTAGAGTTAGAAATGAGTAGAAATAACATTTAAGATAGTTTAGACATAATGTATTAAAAGTTTGTTAGCTAAAAATGATGATCAAAACAAGTTTTTTTTGAGATTCCATGAAGTACATTGACGTCATTGACACAACTTCTGAGTTGCAAGAAATTTCGGAGATGCATCTCCGAAATTTTTCAGTGTTTAAGTTTCCCAGATTTCGGAGATGCATCTCTAGAATTTTCTACACTATTTTTTTCTTACTTGTGTGTTGTTTGCCTAGACTAGTGGTCTGCTTTACTTTAACTTACAGGCATAATGGCTAATAGACATGATAAAATGAGGCACAGGAGGGTTGCTCAGCACACATCAGTGCGGTAGGAGAAGAGTCAGCAGGTTTCAAAGGCTCATGGTCCCTCTGGTCAGGCAAAACCATTTACTTCTGGGGCTCGTACTTCACCTAATGTCACTCCATCTTATTCTTCCCGTAGGAGATGGAATTCACCATTTAACGCATCACTCTTTTCATCCTCCTGTAGGTGTCAGGTTTCACTTGTGACCACTCTTATTATAGATGTTGTTGATCTAGTCCCACCTCCTAATGCTAATGGTACTGATCTAGTGTCACCTATGGAGGGTGAGGTCGTTGTGGATGTTGAGCCAAATGCATTTGGAGGAGGCCTGGTTGATTTGTTTACTATCTCTATATCCATACCATACTGTCAGACATTTCTGGGGCAGAGAGGTAGCATTAGTTGTATTCATTATTTTTTATTACTACATCAGTATCCAGACCATACAACCAAACATATTCGCGTGTTAATACTTTTTGCCCGCTCAGAAGGAACCAGGCGACCGGGCCTTATATAGTCTTTCTTGACTGTTTGATTGTTGAGGACATGCACTTCAACAACTATGTTAATCATTGTGAGACGCGACCATAGTTATACTCCGGATGGTTGACTTGTGGATCCCGTCTCACTACTCCTCATCTTCCCAAGCGCGTCATGCGGCTGTTCGACTACACTCAAACCATTTTCAGACCCAGTATTGTCCCTGTTCCTCCTGCCTTGACACGTAGACAGACAGATGACATGTTTGATGATTATGATAGTCATCTGTTACCAAAGGAGGCACATACTACCATAGTTGAGAGCGACTAAAGCTACGTTGAAAGGTACATCAGATGGTTCTTCATGGTGTCACATCTGTACATGGTGCATGCTGCTCTAAGAGATTAGCTGAGGTCAACTCATCAGAAGATACTAAAGGAGGAACATGCACAGTTAGATCATGCTGAGGATGTCTTGCCTAGATGTCATCGCATAGTGGAGATTACACAGGTAGGCATTGACAAAGGTATCTTTCCGGATGGGTCTGATGTGAGACAGTTCCTAAATGCCATCATGACAGAGGCACAAAGGGCATTTTTGTACTGGAGACATCGTCGGAGGATAGAGGGATTGATGATCGAGGAGGTAGATGAGGTAGAGAAGAGGTAGTCATGCATACATAGTAGTGTCTTACTATATAGTACTACTACTATGGTCTGTATTTTATTTTGACATCATGCTACTGTGTTAATCTCGATTGTATGACATTTTTGACATTTATTGGTATTTTATTAATGTATGACATTTTTGTACCATCTGAAATTATGTACCTCTATTTTTTATTTTCGATTGCATGGTATGGTTTAAATCTTTATCTGAATAAACAAAATATAACATGAAAGACCAAGTTGTGATACGTTGCAAAGATGTTTCTCCAAAATATTCAAGTGTATAATGGATTCTGAGTGTGATGTATTGTATGTTTTAAATTGTTACGCAAATGTATCTTTAGAATATTTTAATGTTCATTCAGGATTTGATGCGTCCAGAGATATATCTCCGAAAACTAGACATATTTAAATAATTTCACATGGTTGCTAAAAAAAATAAAGGTGCATTAAAAAATGCTCAAAGAATAAATAGATAAAAAATTTCACAAGATTTTGGCCTTCATTGTTACTTTTTTTTGGTTTTGGGCTGGGTATTCGTGTATGGGCCTGAATGTTCTTTTTATTCACGTTCCAATTGCTGAGTGGAATCAATTATTTCCTTTGTTAATTTTGTCTTCCAATGCGGAGAAAAAATGAGAAATCAACGGATAATAAAAGTTGTTTCTGGTCTTGTAGTGATAAAGATTCTTAGACAGATGCACTAAGCACATAATTTTTCGAACCAAAAAAAGAAAAACAGTCTTAAGTTATCAAACTGAATCAGAATGGCCCAAGTCAATTGTGACTTTTTGAGTCTTTCTTTACTCAGTGTCCCTGGTTGGGACCCAAGCCTGAGCATGCTTGTTCTTTGTGGAAAGTAACCATCATTGAACTTGGTGCTGCATTCACATCTATAACTTATTCTATACTAAAGAAAAGCAACCAAACCTAAAAACCTTTCTACATATTTCTTTCATGTTTAGAGTGGCTGTGGTTTTAGTGAGTGCCAACCAAAACATGATCTGGGATTTCATCTGGGTGTTGATTTTCACCTCGTGTTGCTGCTCCTTGGTACATAGCTTGAACAATACTGCCAGTGAGTCAATAAATTCTCAGGTTCAAGATTTTGCTTTCAGGTCAATGGCAAGACACCGGCATCAAACTGGTGCTCTGTACGACACTCTTCTTCCCCGGAACCTTTCAGGTATGGATGTTTCAGTAGTGCGTCTGAGAAGCCGGAGGCTCTGGAACGAAGGTTGTAACTTTAGCTACTTTCGGATCCCGCCAAGAACTGTTGCTATCCCCCGTGTCAGGAGGGTGGCTATTGCATACCAGAATTTAGGCAATTGGTCTTCCCACTACTACAATTTGCCAGGTTACTCGCTCATCTCTTCTGTTGTTGGTTTCATGGTTTTTGATGCATCAAATGTAAGGGATAAAAGTTTCAGAAACCTCACTCTCAACACAATGGGGCAGCCTATATCTATTCAATTCCCAAATGTGATATTTATGAGTGGAATCAACTCAAAGGCTAGATGTGTGGCTTTCAATGAAAATGGAACATTTCAACTCACTATGATGAGTTCCCCTGGTGTATGCCACTCAAGAGACCAGGGCCATTTTTCAGTTGTTCTCCCATTGGAGAAGCGGCAACGGTGGTATATTTGGGTGACTGGGTGTGCTCTTGGATTTTTTGGATTGATAATATTAGGTTATGTGGGATTTTCATCCATGAGAATTCTCAAGACGAAAAAGATTGAAGCCATGGAAAAACAAGCTATTGAAGACATGGTTCTTGAAAGCAGATGGGTCGGCGATAGTAAAATGCCTTCTGCAACTGTAACAAGAACTCAGCCAGATCTTGAGAACATTGCTTTGTAAAACCATTATGTTTTCTCGTATGTTATCGTGTGTACTTTCTTGTCGGTGCATATATTACAAGGTCTGTTCCTTCTGTGCAATGAAGAAAGCATTTGCAGTTTGATCATAAATAAAGGATTGTTTTTCTAGTTCCTAGATATTTCAAGAATGACTTTTATTATTAGTCTCTTGTATTTGCCTAATTGTTTGGAATATGTTCTATACCAGGGCCATGAATTGCCACAAGTAATTTGCATGAAGCAACTTGCATTTGTTAATTGATCTCATACAACTGTAAAGTGTAAGCAATTAACTTTAATAAATAAACTGAGGAAGAAGAGGTACGTAAACTCCAATAAAAGCAAGAAGATACTTACTAGAAAACCATTCCCTAGTCCTGATTTCCCAAAGAAAAAAGCTGCCAAAATGACAAACAATCCACAAAGAATACAACAAATTATATTAAAAACATAAAAATAAACTTAGCTAGCAAGTAACAACAACTATCCAGTTTACTTTCTGTTTTACTATTTTAATTTTCAGACATTTGGAGTTACAGAAGGAAGAAAAAGGGGAAATCTTTCAGGACATACACCAAGATCACCTGTAAAGTAAAGCTAAGGAAACAGGGTCCAAGATATATTTGAAGCCTTACAGGGTGTTTCTGTCATTGTTGATACACAATCTTTAACACAGCTTTAAAAGGTATCTATGAGATAAAGCATCAATAATTTAAAGTGAACTTAAGGAATCAAACATGAAACAAAAAAGCTGTATAATTCAAATAACAAAGCCTTTCTTTTATTTGTTAAAATGGAAGGAAAAAAAACAGCTACATAATTAAGGAAACAATAGCTGTTCTGCCTAACCAAAGATCCTCAAACAAAACATACAGTTGCAAAACAAATGCTCTGCATAAACCAACAAACAAAGAAACAACAACTAACCACGCAGAGACATGTTGCCAACACGATCAATTAAGAATGCCGGCACCACTCTGACGTGCAAGTTTCGTCCACTCGGTATGAAACGCGCCGGGGCGATCGAGACGCTCATAGGTATGAGCTCCAAACAAGTCCCTCTGAGCCTGAACAAGGTTAGCAGGAAGCCTTGCTCTCCTATATGTATCAAAGTAAGAAAGACTAGCACACATTCCAGGAGTACTAATCCCGGCCGATATAGCCAATCCAACAACCCTTCTCCACGCTCCTTGTCTCTGCACCATTTCCTTAGCAAATTCGGGATCAACTATCAAACTCGCCAAATTAGGGTTTCTCTGATAAGCCTTCTTAATCCTATCTAAAAACACCGCTCTAATAATACACCCACCTTTCCAAATCCTAGCTAACTCCCCGAAATTCAAGTTCCAACCTTTCTCGTTACTCTTTGCTCTCAACAAATTCATCCCTTGCGCATAGCTACAAATCTTGGAAGCATACAAAGCTTGTCTCACATCATCAATCAACTTTTTCTTATCAATCCCACTTCTCACAAACCCTACTTCCTCACTCAACCCCGCTTCCTTCAAAACCGCAGCCGCATTCTCCCTCTCCTCCTTCAATCCACTCAAAAACCTACCATCCAACGATGCCGCAATAGTCGGAGCTGCCACCGACAACTCCGCTGCCTGTTGCACCGTCCATTTCCCAGTACCTTTCATACCAGTCTTATCCAAAATCTTATCCACTAAATACCCATCACCACCTTCATCCTTCACCTTGAAAATATCAGCAGTAATCTCAATAAGAAAACTCTCAAGCTCCCCACTATTCCACTCAGCAAAAATATCAGCAAGCTCCGAATTCGATAAACCACCAACATGCTTCAAAACATCATAAGCCTCAGAAATAAGCTGCATATCACCATACTCAATCCCATTATGAACCATCTTCACAAAATTCCCACTACCTCCTTCACCAATATAAGTAACACAAGGTCCATCTTCAACCTGAGCAGCAACCTTCACAAGAATATCCTGAATATTACTGTAAGCCTGGTAAGATCCACCCGGCATAAGCGAAGGACCGTTCCTCGCACCTTCTTCACCTCCAGAAACCCCCATACCGAGATAAAGAATACCTTTCTCGGAAATTTCCTGAATCCTCCGTTCGGTGTTTTCGTACCATTCGTTACCACCGTCGATGATAGTATCACCAGGCTCCATATGGTCCGACAGTGCGGCGATTGTTTGGTCTACAGGAGCACCAGCTTTGACAAGGATGATGACCGATCTAGGCCGTTGGAGAGATAGCACAAACTCGCGGGGGCTGTATTGACCGGTGAGAGGGAGGGAGCCTTCACGGTGGGCTCGATCTACGGTTTCATCGACTTTGGAGGTGGTGCGGTTGTAGACGGAGATTGGAAAGCCTTTCTCGGCGATGTTTAGGGCTAGGTTTTGGCCCATGACGGCGAGGCCGGCGAGGCCGATACGGGAAAGGGTAGAAGTGTCCATTAAATTGGGAAATTTGATTGAGATAGATGAGTGAGATGAATGAGGTTGTTATAAATCTGTTAAGAAAGAGTGGAGTGTTTTTTTTGTTTGGAAGGTGGCGGACTCGTCGAGGGTGCGAAAGGACAGTGACTTAACCACCAACGAGACGACGTTACCTCCAAGATCTGTTTATTGGTGATGAAACGACTGCGTTTTACTGTTTTTAACGATGTGTAGTCAACCTGAGATATGTTTTACACACTGTAAGTATAGTCAGCATTCATCCCTCTGGCTCTTGCACAGTCTTACTTTCTCCAGTTACTTTTTATTTGAAGATAATTGTTACTTATTTTTGATCATTTCTATTTGAAATTAATTGATATGCATTAATAATTCACAATCATCCATAATTATTATTTTAGACTAGTTAAAATAGAAATCAAATCATTTAACATTCACAATGATTAAGATTAATTGAAAGTACCAATTAGATTCTTTCTTTTTTTTAATAAATCAAGATATATTAATGATATAAGTTAGTAATATAATTAATTGTTAAAGTGTTGATTGGTTAGATTCAATTCACCTACTTAACAATACATAGATAACCCCATTCCATCAAACTATATTTTCTTTTAAAACAAATGATTATGTTTTGGATAAAATTCAATAAATCGTTTTTATAAGTGAAACAATTTTTTTTTTAAATAAATGATTATGTTTTGGATAAAATTCAATAAATCGTTTTTTATACGTGAAACAAAACTAGTGTATATATATATATATATATATATATATATATATATATATATATATATATATATATATATATATATATATATATATATATATATATATATATATATATATATATATATATATATATATATATATATATATATATATATATATATATATATAACTTTTAATCAAAATTTTATTTATTAATTTTTTATTTTTAAATTTTGTTTTGATGCAATCTGTGAGTGCATCTCTCCGTTTAGTTATATTTCGAATGATGTTAAAATTAGGAGGAGGTTTAGCGTTTTTGTACATTGAATGAAATCAACCAAATTTTAGATGTGTATTGATCATCTTAGCATTCTGGTGCGTATAAATATGTTTGAAAATGATTAGAAATAAACTAGGCAAGGTCCATGCATTAAAAATTAATTTTCTAGTCTGAAAACAACGATATAGGCCAACACATACGTGTTTAGGCCGATATATAGAAGCTTTTGCTTCAATATAGTTCGACACATCCAGGACTTAGGTCAACACTCATGCCTCAAGAGTGAAGTCTGTAGCTACTGCCTATAGGTCGCCTTAAATAGGTCGACCTAAAACCTTTATAAGCGAACTGGAACGTCCATAAGTCGACATATAGATTGAAAATTTTGTTTTCCTTTCAATTTCTCATGCATGCCCTTTGATTTATGTGTGTGTGTGTGTACGATTACATGCATCTTTTTCTAGTAAGATTCTAGTGTAAAACTTATACGAAAGCAAAATTTCAAAGCATACTATTCGTCTTCAGCCTCTCTTTTATGCATACACATAATCAAACTACACGTAATTAGTTTTTGATTGGGTGACCATCTAGATTAGGGTTGATAATGTTCAATTAGATTGGTGTACCGAGAATATTGGGTTGATTTCTTTGAGTGTTTCAAATAACAAAACCAAGCTGGGGTTTTCCTTCAAGATCATTGAGATTTGAAGGTTTTGGATAAGATTACGCAAGCCGGGTCCGATCGAGTGAAAGTCTTTGGACAAGGTGGTTCCTTGCAAGGGAGTAGCGTGAGACGGTGGACCGTCCTGGTAAATTTTGGGTTTCAACAAGTGTGCACTTGGAATTAATTCGACTGTGTGAAAGTCTTGGGATAAGGTGGTTCCTTGCAAGGAAGTAGTAAGAATTAGTGAATTGAATCGACATTATTGGTGACTTTATCAACTTTTTATCAAGGGTTTTAGAGGTGGTAGAATCAATAACAAACCATAGGGTTTGTAGGGTTAGAGTTCTTCATCTCTTGTATATACACATTTTGCAAAGTAAGGTTAATTGCAAGCATCTCAATTCTATTTCGAATTGAGGGAAGACGTACCCATAACGAGGCCGATTGGAGAACTGCCTAAACAAATCCTTGTGTGTGTGTGTGTGTGTCTATCTCTTTTTCTTTTAATTTTGTTTTAGAAAATTATTGAATTCATTGGTTGATTGATCAACTCGATTGGAAATTATTTTTGATCATAATTTTGAATTAGGTTTTGTTAATAGAATCATAATCTGGTTGATTGTGATTGGTTTTGAATCAACAAAACAAATCAAATTTCTAGAAGATATCGATTGCATCCAAGGTGTTCGATAAATTGCATTGTTGTGCTTTTGTTTGTTTTTTATCATTAGAAATAAGCTCTACGTATAACTTAGCATTTTATTGTGTTGTGATTAATGGTTGTTGAACAATTTGTGTTCGTTATCATCCAATTGTGTAATTTTACACATATCTAAACTTTTCGATAGTAGGTTCGGTTAGACGATTTGATTCAGGTTGTTTTCGTTGTGCCATAAAATTTTGAAAACAATTTTTGCCAAAAGTTTAATTTTTTAGTTTGTGATTTATTCAACCCACCCCCTTTAGATCGAAATCTATTGTCTAACATGGCCGAAATGGTCATTGGGAGTTACAATACGTCTAGTATACTTGCGGCGTAAAGAAACTACCCTACGGAGGAGTGCAGGCAATTCAGATCTAATATATATTCAACGACTACCCACATCGCATGCATAACAAATAATGGGTTGTTATAATTTCTCCACTATATAAAGAGTTGTTATAATTGTTCCACTAAATTTCAAATTCAAGTTTTGCTCACTCTTCTTCTCCACATACTAACTTAGTCGTTGGAGTGTTAATCTTGCAGGTTACTTCCTCCTCCGCATCAGAAGCTCAAATTTGTCGTTAATCTTCATAACCATCAATTCTTCAACCAATTATGGTTCTGTAACAAAATAGTGTTGTCTCTGGAAATCCACTTCAAAATTTTGTGTTTTCTACAATCGCACATTCTCCATTCGGTCTATCAATTTGAAACCTTTCTAATTTATCATATCAGAGGTCTCAAAATCAAACACTAGATCCACCTTGTTCAACCTACTCAAGTAGTGAATCGACCGTAATTTCTTGAGTTCTTCCTAACTTCCCAGCAATTGATGGATCTAAAGTTACTCATTCTGCCATCGTACGTGAAGCAACAGCTACCATCACTGCCGCTCAACTGCCTCCACCTCCTCCTCATGGTATTGCAGGCCAATAGTGTCGGATAAACCGTTGCATCCAAATCTACTTCAACCTCCTCAAATTGCAGGATCTACTCCATTATCTTCGATCAGACTTTTGATACCACCTTCAGCTTCACGACTAAAAGCATTGCCTGGTTTCCAACTATTATGAGCCAATCTTAGGATACAAGGCGCCAATGAATTTCTAAGCAACATGTACATCGTTTGGCACTAAAATTCACAGGCTATAAAGGAGGGGTTACTTCATCTCGAAGAAACCCTACATGTCACACCTCCAAGAGGAAACAACATGCAAGAGGCCCTATCAAAGAGAGGCCAAGTTGTCATCCCATAGCTAACTACGTCAAGAAAGAAGGTAAATAGTGGAATTATTTTGCTTAAATCTTACTTCTTAAAGTATTTGGTGATTGAGTACAAGATTGTTCAATATTACTCTTCTTCATACTTTGTCAATTTGCATTTGAAACTTCTGTAAGAACTCTGCTTTCTCTTTTCTTTTGTTTTTCTTTGCCAGTGTCTTTATTCTTTTTGTCATTGATAAAGCATCGTACTCTAAACTGAATACAACAGAAACAAATTCATCTGTTTAATAAAGAAAATTTAGCTTAAAATAGGGAAAGCATACTTATTAAAAATTGAAATTAAAACTTTAAAGACAAAACGGAAGAAAAAAAAACACAATTCTGTGAATTTCCTCCCACACAGCGCTTATTTAAAATCCTTAACTTGACTGTTTGATTTTTTGCTAGGGCAACATATATGACACAAAAAACACATCATCTATATTCTTCCTTTTATTTGATAGGACTCCCGTGTATTTGAGGTATTGATGATGTTACTTTGAATACTTTCATATCTTCTTCAACTTGATAGTAGCGAACAAGACATAAATAACATCCAATACTTTATCAATTTCTTCTCTTCCATCTGCCTTGTTGCTAAAATAGCTTTTAGGGACATGCTTTTGTTGAAGATTTCTTGTTGGATACTTATGTCTAAATAAATTATTGAATTTGATGTTTCATCCAAAATTAGATCATCCTCACTTTTCTTTCTTTCTCTTTTTCCATATCTAGTTTCCACCTCATATTCTTCTATTCTTGATTAAGTTTTTTTTATCTAATGACATGCCTTTTTCTTCTTGTTCTTTTCCAACTCCTTCTTCATCGACTACTTCTCATTTCTATTTAACTTCTCTCTTAACTTCTGTTCTGGCCTGGGCCCCGGCTTAGCCAGGCAGGCCCAGCCCAATAATATTCTGCCAAGCCCAGTCCAGCTTGGGTCGCATTCGTCGAGCACAGGGTCCCCGACGGGCAGGTAATGTCCATCCGCGGGCAGAACCTGCCTCATCTGGGGCGAGCACAAGACTCCCCCATCGACCAGACACTGCCCTCTCCGCGGGCAGAACCTATCCTCTCCGCGGGCAGAACCTGCTCCCCAGTCGGGCAGGACAACGTCACCAACCGACTGCCCACCTCCAAAAGAGCAGGTCAAACCCACTTTCCGGAGATCACGGGACAGTTGGACTAGGGCGAAGACCACGTCCTGGTCTTCACTACGCCACGTAAGCCCTAGCAATCACTTGGGTTGGGCCTGGAAATCCAGTCCAACACAAGTGACTGTTGCCCCTGCGTCGGGGTCTCTCTATAAATACCCTCTTTCACAAGAGGGTTAGGTAATTCATTCCTTACCCCTTTTCTGTACTTGTGATCACTCT